TGGCAGCGGGCTCGGACCCACGCGGCGCCCGGCCCGCCTGGCCTGCAGCGCTCCATCCACTGCAGGGACAGCGGCGACGGCGGCGGCACGATGCCCTTTGACTTTAGGAGGTGAGTGTGGCCACTCCCGCTACAGGGGAGCCCCTCCGCAGCAGAGGGAGTGCTCCCCACCCCTCCAGCACACCATCCTGGGCCCCAACTGTCTTGCACGTCAAGGGGTCTTCTGCCGTTCTTTGCATGCCCCTGGACCCCGGGTGGGCCCCCTCAAAGCCAGCCAGAGTGACCAAGGGCCCCCTCCCTGCAGTGGGAGACAAACCCACCTACCTCTAAGGCCGACCCACCCCCTTTCCTCCACCAGGCACCTCCCCAGCCTGTCTGGACAAACTTCCATCCCCTCCCCCTAAACTGGACAACTGCTGAACCTCTACCCCATTAGGTGGGCGCATACCAGCCACCCCTCCCCCCTCCCCTGCTACCGAGCTAGTGGATCCCACCCCAGCTGACAGGTGGGTTCAGGGGTTTCCAGTGAGTCCGGGAGTGGTGGGGGTGGGGTTAAAGGGGGGAGGTGGGGGGTGGGCTGCACCCCTGGCCTGAGAGCAGCCGGGAGGGTTTAGGTTTCACTGGCTAGGCTGTGCCCAGGCTGGGCTGATCAGGAGGCCTCCGTGGAGGCTGTCTCCTTCAAGCCTAGTCCTGTGCTGTGGGTCTGGGGGGTCCGCGGAGTTGGGAGGGGGCTCTGCAGAGGGGTAGGCCCAGGTCTGGCCCTGGTTGTCTGCAGGCGCCACAATGGGTCCTTTGTGGGGTAAGTCCAGCTTCTCCAGGCCCATGTTGCGCTGCGCAAGGGCTGCTGGAAGTGTGCCCAGTGAGGGGGTCTCCTCCAACTCTCCCTCGAAGCCTGGAGCTTGGGAGGGGCCCTGGCCTGAGGCACCCCCACTGTGTGGGGTGGGGGCGGGGGGCATCGTGTGAGGCAGCCCTGCAGTGGCATTTCTGGCCCTGCCTTCTCCACGAAGCAGCTCCACCTGGCCCGGATGGTAGGGATGAGGGCTTTGAGTTCAGACCCGGCCTGTGCTGCTCAGATGGACAGGTGTGTGGGGGATCTTGATTTCACCACCTGCACCTGAGGCTAAAACTAAGACCCCCCAACCAGGAAGCACTCGCCGTAGATCTTAGCCAAATTCAAAGCTTGGAAGTGGGGTGTTCACAAAAGAGGGGCATCTCCAAGCCAGGAGGATAGGCCCCTTCCGATGCCTGCTTCTCTGTACCACCCCCCCCCACACACACACACAGATGTGTCAGGTAAAGCCATGGCACCAGCATGACCCTAAGCTCACCCCTTTGTGTGGGTATTTGGGATTTAGGCCTAGATAGGACGTTAACCTTGGGCCTGGAACTGGCTGGTGTGGCACTCCAGCTTGCCCTAGCACACGGATCCCACAGGGCAAGCGATGCCAGCTTCCTGCTCAGCGGTGTTTCAGGGGGACATGTCCCGGCTCAGAGGCCACTGCCCTTGGGTTCCCTGTGTATGCTTGGGTCCCAGCGGGCAATGCCACTGTCTTCCACACTCTATAGGGCATCTTAACACATTCTCGAGGTCCTGGGCTCACCACAGATGTGAGAATACATCCAACACCTCCTATTTACCCCCAGGGTTCTGCCACCCTGCCCCAAACCTGTTCCTTCTGTTGTGTCCAATCTCCACTCCATGTGCAGCTCTCTGCTGGGCCCCTGGGATCCTGTGGAGACTGTGACCGTCCTCTTAGGACTCCAGGAGAGAAGAAGGGTGGAAGACATGGTGGGTTCCCAGGGGTGGGGCGTGCCGGAACCTGCCCAGAAAGCACCCAATTCTGTACACACACTGCAGGGTGCAGGCGGGACATCTGTTCCTGTCCTTAGAGAACACACTATTCATTTCGATCAAAGGACCTGCAGACTCACTAAGAGAAACCCACTTGCACAGGGCCCTACAGACTGGAGCTGGTGGAGCTGAGATTTAAACTCCGGACTGTTTGCTCCAAAGCTTTAGTTGTAGGAGCCCCACAGCCCTGCCAGGTCATTGCAGAATGGAGGGCAGAGGTGGTGGTGGTGGTGGGGGGGCGGCGGACTGTGATTGAGCCTCCTTCAGGTAGGGGCGAGGTTCTGCTTGTTGCCTGTTGTTAGATGCTGTGCCATCGTTCTGACCCATAGCAACCCTGGGTACAACGGAACGAAGCACTGCCTGGTCCGGCGCCATCCTCGCAGTTGTTCTGAGGGGGAGCCATCGCTGCAGCCCCTGTGTCAATCCATCTCACCAAGGGCCTCCCTCTTTCTCGCTGCTCCTCTACTTTACCAAGCGTGATGTTCTTCTGCAGGGACTGGTTTGTGCTTGTGTCACTCTCCGTAAAACAAAGTCTGGGGGTGTCGGGGGAAGGGAGAGGCATAGAATGTCCTGTCAGCTTTCTCTGCCCTGTGGTGCAGCACTTAACCCCCTGGGCTGCTAACGGGGAGGGCTGGAGATTCAAGTCCACCCAGAGGCACGAGGTAGAAAAGTTCTCTGACAACCTGCTTCCACTGACACGCCAGCCCCTGAAAACCCCGTGGAGCACTCTTCTGCTGCGACACACAACTTGTCAGCAGGTGGTTCAGCGGACAACTAGGCTCGTGGACAACTCGCTTAGCTCCTGCCTGTAAACTGGCACTGATAGCAGGACCCACCCAAGTAAGCTCCTTGAGACGATGAAACAAGACAGTGTGCAAAGCCGCTGAGAGAAGGCGCTCTGTAAATCAGGTTCACGATTTGTGTTTGTTCAGGGAAGCACCCATCACCTCCTCCCATACTGTATAATTTACCTAATGACTGTGTGCTTCCTCTGGCTCTCCCTTCTCTTAGAAGCTGAGCTGCCCAAGGGCGTGGGTTTTTATCTGTTTTATTTTCTGTGGTCCTCCCAAGATGAGAATAGTACCAGTTGAGTCTACGTGCACCTCATGACCACCGTGTGCATTTCAGAGTAGAACTAGGCTCTGTAGCTTTCAATGGCTGGTTTTTTTGAAGCAGACTGCCAGGCCTTTCTTCTGAGGTGCATCGGGGATGGACTCAGACTTCCCATCTTTCTGTTAGCAGTTGAGGACATTAGTAGACTGCCCAGGGGCTAGAACAGTGCCAGGGGCAAGCTCCCCTTTGGAAATAGCGCTCTACCTTTGTCCAGGAAGCCACAGGTGTGGTGTGATGGCATATGCCAACTCTGCCTTTTGTGAACAGATTTTTAGCAACCCTCTTCCTTGAACGTGCTTCATTGGGTCTGGGCCAGAGGCCAAGTGCAGAGGGAGCTCCTGGGCCGCCTGGTGCTCCTGTGTTTGCTCTATTCTTACCCTGCTTCACTAATAGCCGGATGTTGCCATGGTGGAACCAGCCTTGCGACCTAGGTCCGTGGGTATTGGCATCACCCTTGCCCAGTTCCGGCTGGCTTGGGGCCAGCAGCACCTGCTGCCTCCCTCTCTTGAGACTGGGGATTGGGGGAGCCGTACCTAGGGTGGGGTGGGAGAGATAGCAGTCCCAGGCAGTTCCTGGACGCCGTTTCAGAGTGGCGAGGTGGCCAACTTCCACTAACAAGAGCAGCCTTTGAGTTGAAACCGCAAGACCTGGAGTTGCCACTGCCCCAGTTCACCCTGCGACAGCCGACTTACCCCCACAGAGCCTCAGTTTCTTTGTGTTAAAGAGTGGATGGCAGCCAGTTGCCACCTCGCCTGGTAGAGTGAGGCGTGCCTGCACTGTAGGACCAGCCTAAGAGTCTGCAGACATTACGGATCTTTAAGTGGGGGCAGCAGAGCACTGACCCAAGGCTGGCCCTCTGAGCTCGGGGTTCTGGGCGGCTGCACAGTAACTCTGCCACCCGCCTCTCTGGCCTGCTCCATGTCCTTCCTGCTCCAGGATTTCCCAGGCCTCCTGGAGACTCATGAGTGAACCTTACAAAGATACCCTAGTGTTTTGAAGTCTTCACTTACATCTTCAGGAGGACCCCACTGCTCTGAGGCTCAAGTCTGATTCCTTGGGGCCCGTGAGGCCTTACAGGAGCTGGCAGGGCCCCTGTCTACCCTGGCAGTCCCTTCCTTCCCTACCCCTAGCTGAACCACTGCCACCCTGGGTGCCTCTGCCCAGTGTAACAGACGGTAATGCATGTGTGGGCTTTTCTGAGTCTTCCTACCCTGCCTGCCTTAGAGAAGGAACCCTGGTGGTACTGTGGGTCAGGCGCTGGGCTGCTGTTCAAACCCACCAGCTGCTCGTCAGGAGAAAGATGTGGCTGTCTGCTCCCATAGCGATTGATAGATAGCCTCAGAGGCCACAGAGGGTCATTGTGAAGGGGAACCCGCTCGATGGCAGGGGCTTGTCCTAAAAACAAACTTGGGGAGGCTGACAAGAACTTTATAGCATGTTTATAAAAATATAAATACGTTTAAGAATCCGGGCAAGGGGGAATTAAGGACTAGACCAGAGCGGGAAACAATATGAAAATCAAGCCAGGATTTCATGTTCTTTCATCACTTAAGGCTTTATAAGGAGCCCGGATTGTGCAGTGGTTACATGTTGGGTTTCTCACCTTAAGATCAGCAGTTTGAAACCACCAGCCAGTCCAAGGGAGAAAGATGAGGCTTTCTCTTCCTTTAGAGTTACAGTCTTGGAAACCCACAGGGGTATTGTACCCTATAGGGTCGCCTTTGAGTCAGAAGTGGCTCAGTGGCAGTGAGCTTGAGGTTCAGGTCTTAGAAGGTGCACTGGTATGGGCCGTGTGGGTAGGCATTGGGCACCACCTGGCTCCAGAGCTCTCCATGTAACCCCTAGGATCGTCTGCAAAGCTTATGCCTTTCCCAGTCCTGCGCTCAGGGAGAGCGAAGGAGGCGTGTGGGTCAGATCCCACAGAGGGCTGTTCCTGGCTGATTTTTCGGAAGTGTAAATTACAGCTTCTTCCTGGAAGGTGCCTAGGGGTGGACACAAATCCTGCCTTTTCCCTTGTCAGCCACAGGAGTTAGCACCTCAAGACTCCAGAGAGAATGAAAACCTTCTAATTGGCTTCATTGGCTTTTTCATCACTAATCCTTTCCCATCAGTGCTCATTAAAAAGCTTAAAGTCATCAACCTTTTT